TTATATATGTTGGCTTCTATAGCAATGATCAATTTTTTTTTATAGCAATTTTAAGAGTACAATTTGATTGTAAAATCCTAAGCAAGTAAAAAAAGTCAATCAAATGGATACCTATTGACCCTCATTTTGTTTGTGGTATTAGGATTTGAAAGAATCTTTTCTTAAATTTTTAAAATAATATTTTTGGCTATAAAAAAAATAACATCTATGATAGAAATATATCTCTAATAACTATCCAATTACATCTAAAAATATAACTTTTTTCAATTCTTTTAGTATTGAATTACTATTTCAAAAATTTATAATTGGCCAAATAAGAAGGTGGCTAGGATTTGTAGCCTCTTTTCATATAAGGCTGCTTGCATCACCATATATCCTTAACAATCTTGCTTGCATCACTAAGTTCTTCAAAGCACTTTTGCTTACTTCTTGGATTTCTCCAAATACTCTCTTGCTTGACTAATAGATTTTGTAATGGCTAAGATTGAATTTGGATATCTAACAACTAAGATGCTTCAAGCTAATCAATTGAATTTGGAGGTTTTTTTCATATATAGTAGCAAAGAAAGTATTTTATTTTATTATTTCATTTTTTTGTCTTTATTCAAAATCATTTTGGAATATACAAAGGCTAAAATTATTCATATTATAAAAAATTTATTCTTTTAGTATTGTAAAACAAAAAATAAGAAAAATCCCTAAAAATGATATTACTTACTTTTAAAAAAATTAAGCATGTATTATAAGTTTTAAAAAAAATATTTTTTTGTTTAAAATTATAATAAGATTTTTTAATTTTAGATAAGAATTATAATAAAATCTAATATTATATTTTATATAAATATTTAAGATGTAAGTTATTCCAAAAAACTATAGCAATATATGTGTGATCATGTTAAACATCTATGGATATCTATATTTTTGAATATTTTTTATTTTTTATATATGTTATCAAAAAGTTAAAAATTACTAACTTTAATAATTTATAATATTTTTTTAAAAAATCTATATTTCATTAATTTTTTATACTATATATTATACTTTTATTTTAATTAAAAATAAAAAAATAAAATTTTAGACAAAAATACCACTCTACAATAATATATACCATTTATTCAATTGTAAAAATTTCCAAACTTGTGTGACCAATTGCATCTTTGAAACTATTGCATGCCACAATAAAACATTAGAAAAGTGGTTGTTCTTGATAAAAATTGATATACACAACTATCTACAAACAACACATATACATGCATATACTCTGGCATACTACCTCAATCTTTGTATATCCATGTGCGTCTTCTTGTTGTTAAAACTAGGCTGTGTAGTATTGACCTCCATTAGGCAAGAAAATGCCAATGTAATAAACATTTCAACAAACATATACAATGAATGTGTAGCTATGCAACATAAGAGATTGCAAGGCCATACTTCTATTATTTCACTCTTTTATACAATGCAAACCTTTGACAATTAGTTTGACTATACTTATGATAGCAAAACAATTTCCTTAACATGATTCTTCTTTATGAATCCATCTGGATTTATTTAGCTTGCAAATATTTTTATGTCTTCCTATTAGATTATACTTACAAGGCAACAAATTTTGCATGTCTTTGCTACATGTCATAGACATGACATTATTAAAGTACATGTTTTATTCTTTCTTTTATTATAAATAAAATAAAATAAAATAAAAATAAATAAAAAATTATATTTAGGCTTTTGAATGAATGCAAAACATTTTTGTTAATAGAATTATACCAAAGACCTTTATTATTGATTGCAAACTTGTAGCCATGTCTACAATGTAAGCCATTTTTTTTTTTTTTTTTCATTTTCAAATCTATTTTATGTGTCGTACAATAACAAGAACATTCTAATACATGGCAAACAAAACTTCTTATATGACAAATGGACAATCTTCTTATAAGAATGGATCCAATTCATAAGAAGTTGTTTGATAGAAGCCTTTGACAATAATAGACTAAGATTCATAATAAAGCATGAGGTTAGTCACTTAAATGTTATCACTTACATTTTTGTAACTTGGATACCTTAAAAGAAACACTTTATTACATCCTAGTCCTTTTAACATCTCTACTTTGGCAATATCAATAGTTCTTACATAGAAAGCAGTCACTTAAAATTGAAACAATGGCTTTAAGTATTGATACTTGATTTTATTATATTCATTATTGGATTGCCATGTATCTTAGTTATTAAATGAAAAGACACAACTTTACTTGGATATTGGTGAGTAATTTTATGATTTAGTGGTGATGAAGATAACTTCTTTTGTATTGTTGAAGATCAATGCCTTGCAATTTGAAAAAATATAAAAAAAGAAAGAAAAAAAAAGACATATGTTGTGGATATTTTATCACCTCATTTGAAATGCCTTGCAAGCATACAATAGAGATGTGTCATGCAAGAGATGGTGTATTGTACATTGGCAACTCCCATTCTCAATGGCACCTTGAACTTTTGCTTCTTATGCCAATTGATTTTTTTTTCTTTGACAAAAAGAGTGCCTACAATCACTTTGATTCTTATATTGTTTGCCAACACCTATTCTAATTTGGATTGAAATCAATAGATTGTAATACAAGAAATACTAATCCAATTGATATCACAATGCTTTTGTCCTCAAAATAATCCAATCTCTTAGTGGCCAAGAGGATATCATCCTAGAGCTTTAAACTATATATGAACATCATTTATGCAATAGGATTCTTTGTTGTTTGAGGTTGTAGAGGGTTGTGAAGTTAAACATGGAAAATATAGGAAATGTGATCAAGTTGGGCATAATGTTTGTACTTATCATAGTAGTTTGAGGATAGACAATTTACAAATAGGAGTCTAAAATAGTAGTAAACTTGTGATTAATAGCTAAATAGAGAATTTATTTTTTAAAGTGAATTTATTTTTTAAAGCCAATTTATTTTTTAAAGTGAAGAAAAATAAAAATGCACAAAAAAATAAGCATGTTATTAGCAAGTTGTCCAAGAAGAGGTCATGTAAGATGCAATTATATATCAATTAGAGATGTAGCATTAACAATTCCCTATTAATATTATGATTAATTATTTAATTATTTATATATATTGTGTTCTTTATTTTATTTATATTAACTTGAATGTCTACTTGAGTTTGCAAGATATATCTCTAAAATATAATAAAATAAAAAACTAAAATTTATATATGATTTACAAAAAGATGTCTTCAAAGCATAAATTTAAGTAAGATTTATATACATTATTTTATTCTTCAATGACATGTTTAAGTTTCTATTTGTAAGTTATAATCTTTAAAAAAAATCAAAACCATTTTAGATGCAACAATTCTATCATAAAATCCTTAAAATTAGAGCTATAAGAAAAATGTGAATTCATATATTTTTTTTATTTTCTTTATTGTTTGAGTGTATAATCTTTACATTTAGCTCATAAATAAAAAATAAAAAAAGAGAGATTTTAAAAGAATTAAAATTTACAAATATCTCAAAACTATCATAAATTTTTTAGTTTTACATATTGTTTTATGGTTTGAAACAATAAGAATTTAGTTTGGTTTGGTCTTTTTATATTAAAAACGATATACTATAGTAGTAATAATAATAATGAATTAAAAAATAAACTTTCTATCATGTTTTGTATAAATTAAATATGTTGATTCATTGTTTAAAAAACTACAATACATATCAGAAACATGGAACTGTTTGTTTTCAATAAAAAAAACAAAACAAAAACAAACAAACAAATCTATATGAAATTGCATCTCAAATATGATTTCTAAAGTAGATAAACAACTTCATTCTAGCAGTTAGTACACAATGCATGTGCAAGTGTTGCCGTGTTTTTTATTATCACATCAATCATACTTATAGATATTATATTTACTTCACACTTTCATTCGTTTCCGTGTGGTGAAGTTCAGTCCAATGATTGTTGAATGTAGTCAAGTTTGCTCCAATTGAAAGAACATGCATGAATATAGTGTTGATACAATAAGCTCAGTAATAATTGCCATGGAAACAGTAGTGACAGAGTTTTCATAATTTAGAACTTCCAGAAGTGTATAGCCCTACTGGGTTTTATTTCGCATGTATGAAAAATAATCACGATTATATACTTTTAAAAAAAAAGTATGTCCTCTACTAATGACATTGCTTAGTCCCAGCACAATGGACTAATAAAAAAATGATATGTGTACACATATATACAACTCGTATATCCATCAATCTTCTGATATTGGAGGAATCAGCGCAGCAGTTTTGGACAAGTTTGCAACCGTGTCCTAGTGTCTCCACCTTCGGTAACCTTGCCATGAAGGATCCTTATTCGACACCAAGACATAGGCTGGTTTTCCTGGACAGAACACACCCAAAACACTGTAAAACATTTGATGACAACATGCTGGTGGCAATTACTGAGGCTCAGATGCCTCCGTAGTGCTGTAGTAAACTGCAGCATCCCAATTGTTTCCCACGAATAAACCTCGACCACCAGTAAATGCAATAGGTCAAAAGAATCACAGGTATCAAACGGATTAAAGTGATTAATATTTTCTAAAACCATCCGCACGACGTGTTGGAGTTAAGAACTGTTAGCAACAGAAACACTCCACGAGTTAGCAAAAGGAACATCCATCTCAACATATCGCGAGACCGAATGGCTTTCTTAGTCATTTACATGGGAAATAGGAAAAACTCCTGACAAGGAAACCGTTTAAAAGCAGAATATCGCGAAATTTACATAAAACCTGCTACAGGAACGACATTGCACAGTATGTCAAATCAACTCCAAATAACCTTATATAATTCTCAGCAAATAAATAAATAAATAAGAAAAAATAAGAAACGGAAAGCAGTAACGTCTTTACAGGAGGAAGCGCGGAACACATGTACGTGATACTTCAATGCAAGGTAAGAGAAAACCTCTTGCTACATCTCCAGAGGTTTTCCACAGTATATGTAATCCCAGACCGCCTCACAAATATACTCAAAATAATCCAGAGTGCATGTGATTCCAGATTGACCTCCAACAAGAAAGTCGAATGAACCAAGTGCACTTAGAACTCTTTATTCTAATGAATTTGTGAATGATACAAGCAAATACCACTTGCAGACATCCATAAAGTTCCAAGCTCAAGGCAATGAACAAAATAACTATATTCACAACCTCACACTGAGCTCGTTGCTTCAAAGTTAATTGACTACTACAGTGACGATATGTGATAATAATTCCTCTTAAATTAAAACATTTAAGAGATTAACGAAGCAGAGAAGAACTGATTAAACAGGGAGCCTATGAGTTTTACTTAAAATCCTTGATATAGTGTTTTGGTCAGGGAGGGACGGAATAGCTCCCCTTTCCGTCGTCGTAATAGCTCCACAAGCGTTTGCAAATAAGAGAGCCTCACGCAACTTAGCCTCATCCTGCCAACATTTCAGTGGCATAAAAAAATGTTCATCGTCAAACCTATCACATTATCTTCCTGATATGAAGACAGGTGATCCCACGACCAATTTAGAGGAAATTTGATATAACTAGTGATTAAATGTCTAAGTATATTCTAGCCAACGTGTATTCAAAATATACTAACAGATAACAGCAGGTCTAAGATACCGAACAACAAGTCTGCCTGTACAAAGCATTTTTATACCTCAACGAGGGCTGGAGACTTAGCAATCTGGCTCAGAAGACCAGCACAAAACGCATCACCGGCTCCAGTGGTATCAACTGGTTGAACCTTGAGACCACTCACGTGGCCATGAAATTTCTGCATTTCCAAACACAGGATGTGACTTAAGAAAGTGATTATCAATCCCTTTTGATAAAAGACTTCATGTTTCGTGCTGATACTCAAGGCACATCACACCATTCACGTGAATTCAGCGAATGTAAATCAATTGGACAAGGAAAACCATGAATTACCGGGGTGTAATAACGACAGCCCTCTCCACCCTCAGTCACTAGCATCAACTTGCAGCCAGGATGCATCATCTTTAGGTTGAGGGCATCATCCTTGGGATCTGCACCAGTTAGAAAGATGACCTCCTCGTCGCTGACCTATAAAGAAAAGCATTGAACGGATACAACTATATAAGCAAAATCTTGGTATCTCCCACAATTTTCCGCTACACCCTTGGCTCATTAAAGGCCGTCCTCTATGTTAGTACAAGTCTTGATTAGATATCCATAATCAGGCTATAAGCCGAAACAAAGCTGAGCAAGATGGTTACGTAAAAAAACCTTGATGATATCAGCCTGATCCCAAATCGACATTATCCCCTCTTTTGCGGCGTCAGCAGATGGCCACAAGGGCAGCCGAAGGTTTGGATCGTAGGACAGGAGTGCGCCTGCCTCTTTGGCAATGCGCATAGCCTCCAAGTGGGTCGAGCGAGATGGCTCTGTGATCAAACTGATGGAGCCATAATGCAAGATGGAAGCCTGAAGATTGAAATCAAATTTCATTTACTTTTTCCATAGTAGGATTCTAAAGAATGTCCACAAACCAAAATGAAAGAAAACCAGCAAGAAAACATAGACGTTGAAGTATGAAAACCGAGCAAATATCTGACGGAAGATTCTTGTGGAAACAGTACTTGGTTCAACAACTCAATATCCAACTCATCTGTCTGGAAGAGCATGTCGGCGCTAGGATTGCGGTAAAACATAAATTCCCGCTCCCCGTCGTCGCGCAATGTAACAAAAGCGAGGGCTGTTCTTGCTTGAGCATCGAATCTGACACCCTTGGTTTGCACTTTGTTATCCTTGAGAACTTCGCAAAGCATGTACCCAAACTCATCGTCGCCAACCTACAAGATGTCCAAGCTCAACTGTAATGTCCTTTTTAAGTTGTTGAAAACCATTTCTAAATGATTGTACCATCATTTGAAGTAGATAACTGGTTGTGATAAAGACTGCCCAACCAGTGCACGCCAATTTTACTTAAACTCGGTGCTGCCAAGTAATTGATTTAATTTTCTACGCTTCTCAACCAAATCGAAGAAATTAACTAGGAAACATACGAATGAATTAAGGTCAGGAACATAAAGACATACATGCAAAGAGAAGCTGTAAGCAGAGGCAAACTAGCGCTTTAACATTGAAGTACATGTCGCAACTTCTGAAAAAATTCTGAGTTCAGAGTGGTAACTCGCTTCCACTTAAACAAACTCGCAGTATCTTCATAAGATAAGTAACGACGCAAAAGGACATTTCAAACCCATTAGAGAGTAGAAGACATACTTTTCCGACAAAAGCAGCGTTTCCGCCAAGCTTAGCTATCCCACAAGCAACATTGGCAGGTGCACCTCCAGGCGCTTTCTTGAATGCGGGAGCTTCAGCAAGCGATAGACCGCCCACAGTGGGCACAAAATCTATCAGGAGCTCTCCAAAGCATACCACCAAGTCGTCCATATCTCTGGCTGCAAACGCAAGCACAATCAAATGGCAATCGAAACTATCAGAAGCTGTCACCATTCAAATACCTCATCGATGTAATACTTGAAGCCCGGCTACGATCATACATTCACAAACCCCAATGTTTACACTGCCACTAACAGACCAGGCTTGTGAGCTCTCTAATCCGTACAAATCCGCGATAGCCTATTATCTATATCTGGATCCACCTTCCCAAAGCACGGTTGGACAAAAGCAAGCCTCCATCTAGAGAACATTCAATGTCGCACTTAAAAGTCGTCAGAGCATTACTGACAACTTCAGAGGGAGCTTTGCGATCTTCACCTGACCTTGACATAGCGTTACAATTGCTGGCAAACAATCTGACAGACAATGAATAATAGAAAACATCAGAGAAACCACGAACAAGAAGTTTAGGGCAGGAAAGGATTAACGAAGAGGAACTCCCACCTTGGGAAGTGGTGCAATGCAACCTAGGTGAAGTGACACCTTTCCTGATCGCTCGATTGGAGCGATTAGCAGTCATAGGATGAAGAAATGATGACTTAAGCGAGGGAAGAGATGGTGATCTCCCCCTAGAAGAGAACACATACGATTGCGATGCAGAGTTAGATACCGTCACAACGGGCTGCGATACAGGCCGCGACGATGGCTGTACATTACATGGATTGAAAGACAATCCGCTGCCACACAAACAAGACATTTCTTTAACCCCTTTCCCACCCACTTCTACTTCTTGCCCTCCCCTATTCCCCCACGTTCAGCCTTCAATTCTGCAGCCCTGTATACCTCCCTCCCCTCCCCCACCCTTACCCACTAATCAAAGACGCTCGGTTCCTCCGCTTGAGTGCTTCGCCGATCCAATACCACAGCTCTGGCCTCCCCCCTTCAGGTTGCGGCAACACTGAGGCAAAACCTACCAGCAACCCCTCGGCGAACAACTAAACAGCAACAACAATGGCCTCCCCACTCGCTTCACAACAACTCTGGAAACAACACCAATCTCTACGGCACCAGGAACTAATTGCTTCAACTAAAAAACGCCTCGCAAGCAGGAACCCAACCATTCAACGAACCATAGAGCTGCGTCCAGGCATGACAGGAGCAAGAGACCTCCCGCATTCCAAAAGCGCAGTACACAGTATTCCGGGAGAAAAACAAGCGTGGAAATCAAAAACTAGGAAGAAAACAAAAAAATATATATTAAGAAAAACAAACGTCCGCAGCCTTGCCTTTTGTAGGCCAGGTGAAAACTCGAAAAGGCGAATTGGGCAACTGCGGAGCCACTGCGCAACCTGACGACTCTCTGACACTGGCGACATCTTATTATTCCTCCTAGCCCTGCGTCATCCCAAGCCCTGGGTTCCGATAAGCCATACCTCCATTTCCTTCAACTTCACTTCGAGGCGGATGGATGAACAAAACTCCCAGAATGGTCTCACTCCCGTCTTGGATGTAGCTCCCTTGTCGGTGGATGAACTGAGACATCCTTTCGAAAACAGGAGATTCCTCCTTTCTTGGATGTAGTGGTGGGGTGGTAAGTCTGTCTCCTCGTTGAGAGAATCCCCAAGGCCATGACTGCTTTTGCCTTCGAATGACCTTGGGAATGGCGATGCTTTAATTTACCAGTGACTAAAGCCTTCATCAATGGCATGATCGTCTGGATTAGGCTTGATGGCCACATGGTAAATATCATTCATATCATACATATCATTCATACGTACGAATTATCATTCATACGAGGTAATCGACTTCTTTCCTTGAAAAAAAAAACCAAAAATTAAAATGGGTTTCGAATTTTCTACCTCAGATGATCCTGCTTAAAAAGAAAATGACATAACAATCTACTAATTCAGATAGAATATTCTCGCAAGTATAGGAGGTCATTTTCTACATCCCCGACATGGAAGATGTAGAATTGATAGGATCCCATAACTAGTGCCCGCATTAATAAGGGGGAGGCTTCACAGCGGGTCGCCGCGTCAAAGACCCAACTCTGGCTGACTAGGATCCCCTTCGCCACGTCATATCATTAACAATTTCGCTGGGTCTCGTGGCGTGTACAACGTGGCGACTGAATAAAGGTGGGGATGGCGGGTGCTTGTGACGCGGCTGGGGGGGGGGGGGGGGGATGGTGCAAGCGGTAAAGAGAACTGCAACCCTAAGCCCTAAACCTTTGAATAATGGGGGAGGGGTTATCCAGTTGCAGCGTCGTCAACTGCGTTCATGAGATGCCGTTCAAGGATTTGCCTGGCTGGACTTTGGGTGGATGCTCACGCTGTGTGTGCGATTCCTTATTCTTTAACTGCTAACTTGGGTGGATCAAAGGTTCCGAGTCTCGGTAATGGATTTCAGCGACCGTGTTGACAAGGTGCTGCTGGCGGCGTTTCGTGCCATGGAGCCGCCGTCGCGAATCATTTCTCTAGCAAGGCACTGTGATTTCCTTTGTTTTTTTTTTACCCAGGCTCTTTCATGAGATTTGAGTCATGGTTTGTTGTTTTTGTTTCTGTTTGTTCTCGTCGTGTCAATGCGATGGGTTTTTATTTGCATTTTCTGAGTTTTGCTTCTTTGATTCAATTCATTCAATTTCCGTGTTTTATTTTTTCCCGTTTTTTCTTTCACTTAATAAACCTCCGTTAAGAATGCAGCGTTGACGAGCGGTGCTAGACCCGCCCATCCTGATAAGTCCAATAACATTGTATGAAGGGCTCAAATTCTTTCTTCTCCGTAAGAGGCGTAGTTCAGTTTGCAGAGCACATATTTTGCGGGCATGAAGCTGATTGTCTCCAATTAAATAAGTAAAATATTAGTATAAGTGCTTGGACTAACCACTCTTCATAAGAGCTGCTGGAGATCTCTTTATGCTTCGCACTTCAACTTGGCTTTGGAAACCTTTATCCGAAATTGAGATTAGTGGCAATGAGTGGAAAATTGCGATCGGAAACGAAGTTTTGCGCAGGTTCAGCGCAAGTTCGGCGCTAGTTAATTTTTTTTTATGTAGTACTCCCCGTACCTGAGTTCTTAGCATTTATCACGACGCGATTTTTGTCACTGTTAATGTTGCTAAACACTTCCGTGAATTGTCTTCATGGGTTGGTTTACTTGTTATCGTATAGTAATCGTGATAATGCGATACAATACAGGAGGTTCGGAGGGGGGGTCTTGTCGAGTGATGCCCAAACATTTTTCCTTGAGAAATGTCTTCATGATGAGGTTAGAAAGTCTTTTCACCTAGCGTTCTGATTAAATGCAATCTGCAGGTCGTGTTGTAGTTAAATCATGTGTTTACATTGATGTCTTATTCTCATAGTTAGCTGTCGGATGCTATGAATGTGGTTCATGAACTTGCGTCGAGAATGTCTTCTAACATTTCTCTTCGCTTGTGGTCGTGAAGACTTGCAACCGCTACCCACCAGGGTTGTTGTACCTTAGACGTGTTCTGAAGCAGATGATACTGGCGGCAGAAAAGGACGGTGATGAAGTTCTGGATGGGTTGTATGATTTGCATGCTGTCTATTTGCTGCCGCCTAAGGTGACCAATCAACTTATATCTTTCATTTAAATTTAGGTTAATAACAGAAACAACATTTCTTCCGCAAGAAGTGGGTATGCATGAACTGAAATGTTTTGAACATTTTTACTCTGAACTTTGATGCATAGCTAGAGAAATATTGAAATTTATCGGACACACTCAAAACAGGAAGGCTCCGCTGAATTGGCTCCAAAGTGCTACAAAAGCTTCACTTACAATATTCCTGCCAAAACAAGAGCGTATTTAGCGTGCAAGACAGGATCTAAGAAGTTCATGGAAGAGGTTGAGCATCTAGTGACACTTCGAGTATCCTTGAACATGTTGGAAGGTGATACTGGGTACGTGGCCATCATACACGACGTGATTCGATTTCGTGGCGTTATGGTTGGTATGTGCTCAGGATCCACGCCTATCGACGTGGAATAGGCTTGACCAATATCTCTTGTCCACTCTTTTTTTCTCCCTCTTTTTTTCTCTTTCTATTCATGATAATTTATTTATATCATTTATTTCAACTATGCGTGTCATCAAGTCAATATCTGTTTCGTACATGCCAGTGGCGGTACTATGGGCAGTTAGAGTTTTGGGGTTGGGATTGGGGTTGGGCGTTGGGTTTTGTGCAGCGAATCGAAAACACCCTTGAGTGTCTTACAATTACTGTCGATTTGAAATCCCTGCGATTGGGTTGGAGTGGAGCGTTATGGTGCAAGACGTTAGTATCTGATATTGCAATTGCCATATGATTACAGGTGTAGCGATTGGCCTGCTGGCTTATTGCTTTCTGAATTTGTTTTAAGTCATCCAGAGCTGTTCTTTGGCCAGAAATGTCTAGAGGTATGGTTTAAAGAATTCCTAGTTGCCCATGCTATCTACTTGTGCTCTTATAATTGATCTTGATTTTTGTTGACTTGTCTAAAATACGTTCTAGCTTTTATTGACTCTATATACACGTAAGAGCTCTTATCGTAGGCAATTTCTTTTAGAATTACTCTTGGTGTATGATGAATTACGCTCAGTTCCACTTTGAATTGAAACAGATAGGTGCTGGAGCAGGCATGATTGGGGTATTGCTTTCACGCCTTGGTGCATCTAAGGTACGGATTGAAACGTTTTTCTCACTTTTCATAGTCGTAACACAGCTAAATTGAGATGTTGATGCTCGTTTTAGAAAGTTTATGTGTATGCCTAAAGAGTGTAAGACCTTTAAGTACAAATCTAGAATTTTCTTTTGGGATAGATTTTAACTTAGTGCTAAAGGGGGCGGGGCATGTATTTATAGTCTTTTCTAGATTCAATGCAGATATTTTCTGGAAAACATCTGAATCCAAATTCTGTTTGATCAGGTATTATTGACTGATGGTTCTCTGGCTACGTTGGCTAACATGAAGCACAACTTGTCAATCAACAATATTCCTGTGGAAGGAATGAAAGAAGTCAACGACTCTCAGCAGTACACAAACCCCTCAACTCGGGTAAGAACAGATGTTGATCATGTTCTTGGACTTCTCTCCTTCACACTGCCAAGTTTTAGCAGTCGAAATACCAACATGTTTTTAATTGAAGTTTATTCTCTCTACAGGTAGAGTGTCGGCAGTTGATCTGGGAGACTCTCTGTGACAAAGAATTACACGATCTGGAATCTAACATCATGTAAGTTTATAATTGATGATTTATTTCAACACTTTTGGCTTTGTATCACTTAGAGCAGATCTTAAGGTGTCATGTTGTCCTTATAGTTCCAGGCAGTTTGTGCTGGTTTAGAGAAATGGCGCCATGTACAGATTGCCGATTGTTTAAAAATTAATTTCATCATCATACATAATGGGCTAGCGCTTCTGTGAAAATAAAAGAAAGAGCATTAGTTAGGGTTTTATGGTTTGCTCTTAATTTTGCTTCTGATTGAGCTTCATGACAATGGTCTGCAAAGGTGTAAGTTGGTGTCGCTTACATTTTTTTGCTCAGACTTACCCTGCATATGACGAAACAAATTTTTTTATAGCCTGTATTTTGTGACTTTGCAGCTTGGGGGCTGATTTGATCTACGATCCATCGTATATTCCTCACCTTGTAAGGGTGTTGGCTTCTCTTCTGTCCCTTGATCACCCTGCTACGATCAGTCAATTGGAACGTAGTGTTTATGAGTACCCTGTTGCATATATAGCTACTGCTATCCGAAATCCGGACACTCTTGTGTTCTTCGTAGAAGAGGTTAAGAAGGCAGGTCTTAGAATGATTGAAGTTAGTGAGAGTATGCGGCCAGCACCTTGCTTAGGGAATATTGCTGCTCTTAACAGAGCAACAATACTAATACATAAGTTGCAAGCTTGGAGTGATTGACATAGTAAGAAGGTACTCTACTTTTATTTGTTATTATTATACTATTTATGATGAGCGCAAGCTCATCAATTTGCCTTTCAAGGGCTAAGATCGTTTAAATGCAATTCTTTTGAGATTTCCAAGAGTTGTTTGTTTACTTTAGTTGAAGTTAATTTTTCTTCCCCCTATTTGCGCTGTACAAATGTTCACCTTGAAAGAGCAAGTGCACACTAAATGTTAGATTCTTCCAGCAGTTACAATTTGGAGTTAGCAATCGAGCCTGTAAGGATAAATGATTAACCTTGTATGTACTTATGATGATATCAGGATTTATAACCAGTCATTTCCCATCATACAGCATTGTTTTAGTGTTATTCAATGATTCATGACAACTTGTTACTAGTGTTATCCATTAGTTTTCTCTTTAAAATAATAAATTGAGTGGACCACAAGTTATCTTTTGGGTTTAAATTCAATGAAATAATTTCATTCAACCAGAATATATTATAACATTTTCGAAGATAGCCAAAATATAGCAAGGACTTGTTATATAAAGTAAAATAAGATTGTCTGTTTTAATCACACTAGAAGAATCTCAGTAACTACCTAAGTGTGTAAAGCTTGATTTTCAAGTAGAGGGAGGATTTGAGTTACTTCTTGTGTAAGCAATATAAAAAGTGCAATGCATGTGGAACATGGAACATGCAAATCACTAAATTGAATTGGTGACCTTTCTTTGAATTTTTCACAAAGCTAGAATACAAAGAAAGAGTGTCAAAATTGCCTTGATTTGATGCATGCATTGGATGATATTGTATTGGTGCAATTGTAGAAAATGCTCCTAAGGACCAATCCATATGTGCATATATTTAAAATGGTACAGAAGATATTAGTGTAAGATAATTTGACATTGCAATAAATAGGACTATGTTTGGTAGCATCACATGTCTAAGATGAATGTCAATACAATACTACTACTAAAAATTGATTCTTAGACTTGTTTCTCTTTGTTTTATGTCATCTTATTATCAATGGATGATTCTCAATATTGATAGATATTGTTGATGAAAAATAAAAATAAATTTTGATAAATTTATATGATTCACACATGACTCTCATGTGCATTGATTAATATTATGTCCAAGTCAATTTATAAAATTTATCTTCTATTTTTTACTTTTCTTTCACTCAACAACTTCTTCAATTTTAATCTCTAAGTTGCTACTTATTTTAATAGAATGTAGCAATAAGTGTTTTCTTTTTGGTATATTCATTGTGATTTAAGGCTTAATATAAAAAAAATAAAATACATAATAAATATTTATTAATTGTAGTAATTATAATTAATATAAAATTATGATAATTTATATTTAAATAATAAATAGATTAAGCTTTTAATAATGCAACTTAGAATAAGATCAATTAATCTTGATATTACAACAAAAAAAAAAAAACTATACTTTGAATAGAGATTTTTTTTTAATGTATCTTTATTATTGTGTTAATCTTTGCTATTTTTCTTGCCAAATCTTTTAATATTGATTTTTCAATCTTTTAAAAAAGTAAAAAGTATCAAATTATAGATGATAACTATAATTGACAAAAAAATATAATATTATCATATACATAATTTATTAATGATAAAATACTTGTATAATTGACTTAGTAATAATTGATTGTATATAACAAATACTATTCTAATATTTAATTTACAAGTTCTATGTGTCTATCAAATTGAAGATTAAAAACTTAAGATAATTTGATATTAAACTTTAATATGTTAAAAATTATTTTCTAAAATCTTGATAAAATTTATGATCCTTGATTGTATAAAATATTAATTAAAAATCTATAGTATTAATAAACTGTCACGGACATAGAATACAGACTTGATATCTACCAAGAAGTTCAAGAAGAACTGGCAAGAACTAGATTAATCAGATGAATACAAGACCAACACCAGAGAGGTGAGCTAGAGCTCCAAGAGATGTGTTGTCGAGACTAAAGAACTCTTTAGCCTCGATTCCAATATATACTCCTCTTTAGGAAGCTTCTCAAGCAACTTCTACCAACTAAGAAGCTTCTAGAAGGTTCCAGAGACTTGCTTCTAGAAGGTTCTAGAAACTTATCTCTAGAAGGTTCTAAGGACTATGTCCCTAACATCTTCTACCAACTAAAAAGCTTCTAGAAGGTTCCAGAGACTTGCTTCTAGAAGGTTCTAGAAGCTTGTCTCTAGAAGATTCTAGAAACTTGTCTCTAGAAGGTTCTAAGGACTATGTCCCTAACATCACCCCCTCTTTTAGCTTCGAGGTCTCTGAGAAGCAATGTTGTTGTCAATCAGTATCAATGCAAGAAAATGAAGATCTGTCGCATAACGTCTGCTATGAACTCCAACTGTTGTTCACGAGGTAAGTGGTTCATCGGCCCTTGAAGCCAACGGTAGTGGCCCACTTCTTCAACTTCTGACCAAACATGAACTTCCGTATCTTCATTGTGAAATTGTCCTACAAATATGCCTTTTGGTTGACCATCGTAAGCAGGCTCGGACTCAAATACAATCACCAGTGATCGGTTACTTGGTATCCTCCGTCGTCGTCGTGGTGTAGGTAGTTCTTCATCTCGGGGTCGCCTTCGTGAACTAGTTGATTGAGATAATCTGACTGGCATAGTATCTATCTCTTGGCTATTTATATCAGAAGACCAAACTATGGCTACTAAAAAAATTCTATTTTATCTTGGAGAAAATAACTACATCAACTACGAATTTTAGTGGTGCTCTCTCCCTTTCTTATATTCTTGGGTAAGCAAGCTTCAAAAAGAAGCTATTGTTGAACCGGCTTAGGTTTATGAGGATGTTGTTGATGAAACTCCTGTACCTTTTGCAGCGCATTGGTGAGATTTTCAGCTGGCTCCCACGTTCGCTCATTAATGTCGTAGCCGCACCAATGAACAAGATACTCCAACTTGTCCCACCTTAGCCGAGAATCCAGCACCTTTTCAACCTCGTATTCCTCGTGGTTCTCGATCTCAATACTAGGTGGCGGACATTGCACTCTTCCAGGAAAAGATGATTCTCGATAAGGCTCCAACAAAGAAACATGAAAGACTGGATGTACCTTCATAGAAGCCGGTAATTCCAGACGGTACGCCACTGGATTGATTTGCTTTTGGATGATAAATGGTCCCAATCTTCGATAGTCCAACTTATCACATGGTCGCTTGGTCTTGATATTCCGTCGAAGAAGCCATGCTTTATCTCCAATTTTGAAAGTAGGTGCTTGATTCCGAAATCTATCTGCAGACGCCTTGTAGGATTCTTGAGCAGATTGTAATTGAAGCTTCAACGTATTTTGAAGCTCTGATAGTTGTTTCGCAAATCCTTCAGCTGTTGGATTGTTATTTGTTGATGGACTCAATAAATCAAGCTTTGGATGATACCCATAGTTGGAAAAGAATGGTGTGTATTGAGTCGACGCATGGAAGGTGTTGTTATATGCAAACTCGGCTAACGGTAGATATGTGGTCCAATCGTCTTACTGATAGTTGATGCTGCATCGTAAGTATTGTTCCAAGACTTGGTTCACCCGTTCCGTTTGACCGTCAGTTTGAGGATGAAAAGCCGAAGAAAGCTTGATATCCACCTTCAGTATCTCAAAGAGAGATCTCCAAAACTTCGATACGAACTGGGTTCCTCGATCTGATACGATATCATCTGGTAGTCCATGATATTGATACACATTATCGAGAAAGAGCCTTGTCGTGACTTCACTGGACGATGTCTTATTGCAAGAGACAAAGTGTGCCATTTTTGTAAGCCGATCTACCACGACAAAGATGCTGTCAAATGAGTTCGATGATGGTAGGTCCGTGATGAAGTCCATGGAAATTGAAGACCATGGTCGACATGGAATCGGCAATGGCTGTAGGAGTCCATAAGGGCGATGCCGAGGATTCTTGGATCTTGAACAGATGTCGCAGGAGAGGACAAAATCTTTCTCATCCTTCCACAGTTGGGGCCACCAAAAATCTCGAGAAATAAGCTCCAAGGTCTTGTTGAATCCACAATGTCCCGCAGCAAGAAAATCGTGGCGAGATTGAAGAACTCGGAGTCGTGCTGGTCCTCTTGGGATTTATAACCGCTCTTCAAAGTATAAAAGATCTCCCTCCACCTTGAACTTGTCATCATTGGCACGCTGCTTAATATCAATGGCTACTGAATCTTCAATGGTTACGGCACGTACCTGATTCAGGAAGTCAGCATCAATTGGCATAATAGTAACGCAAAGCTGAAATTGCTCTGGCTTCAACAATGTCATACATTGTTGATCAAACGCTGCTTTTCCAGCCTTTGGTATAAGATACGATCTCCTCGATAAGGCATCAGATAGTCCTTGCTGCTTTCCAAGTCGATAAGTGATAATAAAATCGAACCTAAATAGCAACATACTCCATCGAGCTTGACGTTGATTTAAAACTCGAGCCGACATGAAATACTCCAAATTCTTGTGATCTGTGTATACGGTCACTGGATGTGCAGCTCCTTCAAGAAAGTGACGCCATTCTTGGAAAGAATCCACTATAGCAAGAAGTTCCTTATCGTGGATCTTATAATTGATTTCAGTAGTAGAGAACTTTTGAGAATATAATGCAACCAGATGGAGCTTCTTGTCTTCTCCCATTTGTGAAAGTACAGCTCCCAAAGCAAAATCCGAAGCATCAGTTTCTAAATAGAAGGCCTTTGTAAAGTCTGGATGTATCAAGATTAGAGCCATAGTAAATGCGGTCTTCAGGTTTTGAAACACCTTCTCTGTTAGAGGTCCCCATTCCAGCTTATCTTTGCATGTCAACTGAGTGAGATGAGCAGCAACTTGAGAGTAATTCTTGATAAAGATCCGATAGAAGTTGGCAAAACCAAGAAAGCATTGTACGTCTCTAACCGTCTTCGGAACCTCCAAAGACACAATTGCTTCCACCTTCTTGGGGTCCATCTTCAAGCCTTTCGTAGTCGCAACGAACCCCAGAAACTCCATCTCTATTTGGTGAAATAAACACTTCTCCAACTTGACATATAGCCCTCGCTCGTGTAGTTTCTCCAATACCAAACGAACGTATTTTTCATGCTCTTCCTCATTTTTGGAGAATATC